CCACCGCGCCCGGCCTGTTCTTATCCTCTTATTCTGCGCTCTCTCCCTAAATGATTTTGACCTGTTTTCTGGTTACACTTAGCTTCTGAGTGCTAATGATCCCCAGATCTTTATTTCTGGGCTTGACCTGTCTTCTGATACACAGATTTGCATTTCTAAGTACGATTTTCAACAAGAGACCCATCAGTATCCTAAATTCGACATGATATAAATGGAAATATTTGTTCTCGCCAAGAAATAGGTGAGATTAGGCAATAACTTGTATTATGGTTAAAATTCATTTTCCTTTTATTCCTGGCATGTTGTCTAAAAATGGTGGTGTCATCTTCAACTTCTCTTTTTACCTTATCTACTTTTTCTCATCTCTGAAACTAATCAGGCTGTGTATGCTAGTCAAGTTGGCCTCCTTTTCAAGTTTCCTGTATTTAAATTCTGTCCTTGAAAAGAAATAAAGGAACCCAAGCCAGTCATTCTACCTCTTAAATGTTGCTTTCTTTCTTCGTTGGGTTGCAGGGAGGATTAAATGGGATCGTGCAAGTAAAGTGCCTAGCACAACTCCTGGCACATAGCATGAACTCCATAAATGCTGCTGTTGTCTTTGCTTTTATTACGTTTCATTTTCCCCTGCAATCCTTTGACATCCCTGTGTTACCTTCTTTTAGCATGTATATCAGTCTGCCTTGTGGTATCCTTAGGTACTCATGTGTTGATTTTACCTGGGAAACTGTAAGCTCCTGGAAGCAGCCAGTTCAGCTGGGCCCTCTGCAATCAGCCATCAGATAACCAGAAAATAAGATAACTCATGAAAGATTATGTATTAAGGGCTGAGCCTGAAAATGGCAAGCTTCCCCTCAGCCATATCAATGACCTACGTTGCAATGACCGGAATTAATCACAAGGCTCCATTGTGGAGAGGGAGGGTAAGGACTTGCTATCTTCCCATGTGCTCAAGAGGGAAACAAAACAGTGTGGAGAGCACATAACAGTGTCTCTGCCCCACAAAGGGTGTGAATGGGGGAGAGGTATATAAAAAATGCAAGACAAAACAAAGACAGTACAATTTCATTTCCCCCAGATGCCTGAAGTTCCTTTACTGTAATGTTTTCTAAACTTTGGTCATTCCAGCACCACATAAGAAATTTTGCTATGATTCTATGCGTCCTTTTTTTTTTTTTTTACATGCACTTCCTTTATTAAATGTTTTTTTGTTGTTGTTGTTTTGTTTTTGTTTTGCCCAGGCTAGAGGGAAGGGGTGCGATCTCCACTCACTGCAACCTCCATCTCCCGGGTTCAAGTGATTCTCCTGCCTCAGCCTCCTGAGTGGCTGGGACTACAGGCGTATGCCACCAGGCCCAGCTAATTTTTGTATTTTTAGTACAGACAGGGTTTCCCTATGTTGGTCAGGCTGGTCTCGAACTCCCAACCTTAATAATCCAACTGCCTTGGCCTCCCAAAGTACTAGGATTACAGGCATGAGCCACCGTGCCCGGCCGTTTATTTTTAAAAACAGATTTTTTTTTCATCACTGAGACAAATAAAAAACCAGTATTTTTCTAATCTATGTCAAAATAAATCATGAGTACTAAAATAAATTCATCCATTGCTCACCTAAAACATTTTGCATAGCACAGGGATTCCACATTTTGAGAAATACTGCCTTACTGCATTACACACACACACACACACACACCCCTACACACTTTTTAAGTGAATATTTACTGTTGGGCAGATGTGTTGAGGAAATGTAGAACAAAAAAGAAATTGCCAGGCTTTTTCCTCGAAAAGTGTTTTCCTTTACCTCTTTTTTCTCTCTTTCCCTCTTTCTTCCTTTCCATCTTCCTTCCTTCCTTTTTTTCTGTACCTCTCTCTCTCTCTCTCTCTCTCTCTCTCTCTCTCTCTCCATCTTCCTCTCTTTCTGTTACATTTTGAAGAGGATGAGAGAGGGCGAGATCTTGGAAGAAATGCGTCTTTTATTAGTTCGCCACAGTACTTCTCTTGAGACATGGTCATGAAGGTGACATCCTAGCAGAATGAAAAAGTCCTGTCCAGTCCAATGACCTGTGAAGCTCTGGGGTGACCCCACTACCCTCCTACCCACCTCCCACTCCCATCTTCATTTCCTGCGCGAGCACTACCCTCAGCATGCCAGACTTCTTACCACCATTTGCAACTCCACTCATCAGAACAAAAAGCGTGGCAAACTGTGCAGTCTTTCAAGGTGAATGTTAGCAGTAGCAGAACCAGTTGGGGCCAGTGGGTGCAGGTCAGGTTAGCCTTGTCAGACTTGACCACAATGCTGAAACGCTGGAGTTGTTATTTTTACCTGTCCTCAATTATGCTGAAATGAGGAAAGCCTTCTAGCAAGGTCTGGGGATTTGGGACAGGAATCAAAATGGCCCAATAGGAGTGCCTGAGAAAACAGTTCATTTTCTCACTGATGGAGTTTTACATCTAACCAGTAAATTTTATCGGAACCCTCTAACTCTAGTAAAATACAGCAAAGTGCAATAAATTTCACTTTATGGGTTTTACAGTTTAAAAACAGCCTCAGGCAGTCTGGTTACTGAGGGAACCTGGTTGGAGCAGTCTCCAAGGCTTGGTTGCTGTATGCGGAGATCAATGCAGATGACCCCATACAGGTTAGCGACCAGCCATTCAGGTAAGGTGTTACCTCCCGCTTGAACACCACTGAAGGTATGATGTAAGTTCTGTGTCTACACCTGTAAAGCTGGCTTTAAACAGTGAAGGAAAAAAGCAATTAAAGTACTAAACAAGAAGCTCCTAGCTTCCCTGGGACAAGAATAAATGAAATTCATTAAAGACAGGAATTTAGTCACTGACTTATTGCAAGATAGCTGACTGCTTCATAAGGTCCCTTGGCCATTTTTTGTTTTTTGTTTTTATTTTTATTTATTTATTTTTTCAAGTGGTTTTGAACCTGGAGTAAATCAAACAACATTCCTTAAGGAAAACTTTTCCAACTGCACCTCAACCAAAATATTTTTATAATTTTCCCTGAGGTAGGCTTTTGTTTTTTCAATTGGATTTTAATTGACTGTTTTCCTTACCTTAATAAGTTATTAAAACTTAAGAAGTTCCCTAAGTCTAACAAGGCCTGGTCACAAGAGCAATTTGGATCATATGGGACCTCCCCGTACCCAGACTTCAACCAGCAAACTCGGATCCTATAGTTTCTTAATTTTTGTTATTTTTTAATCAACTAGGATTCATGTTGAGTCCTTGTAATGGATCCACTGTCTAAAGCCTTTTGCCTTTGTGTAATGATAAGACCCACTGGCATTTACTATTTGGCATTCATGGTTGGAAGCACTTTATCTGTGTTGCCTTGTTTCATTCTAAAAATCAGCCCATGATGTATAGCTTTATTCTGGCTCCTTTACAGAGAAGGACACCAATTTGCCCAGCGTTACAAAGATAGCAAGTGGGAAAACCAGAACCAAACTCCACTTAACATCCTGCATAGGTTCTTGGACATTGCTATTTTAAGTGAAACAA